GACATCCTCGAAAGATCGGTTCCGGAGGGGACTCCGAACCAGCATTATCTTGGAGTCGCTCCCGGAGGGCCTCCAAACGGCCCAAGAGAGCCCCCAAAGGCCCCCCAGGGGACCCCCAAAACGGCCCAAGAGACCCCCAAGAGGCTCCCAAGAGGCGCCCAGAGGCCTCCCCGAGCGCGCGAAGAGGTTTTTGAAAAATGGCCGTTTCGCTCGAGACATCCTCCAAACATCGGCCCAAGAAGGGACTCGTCGTGTTCGAATCTCTCTTGGAGGGCTTTCCAACGGCCCAAGGGAAGCCCAAAAGACGCCCCGGAGAGCCCCAAGAGCGCCCAAGAGCGCCCCAAGAAGACCCCAAGAGACCCCCAAGAGCGCTCGAGGAGCCACCCAGGCAGCTCACAAGAACCCCAAGACGATCCGAGAAGGGCCAAGAAGGCCCCAAGAGACTCCCGGGAGCGCCCCAGGAGGCCCCCAGCGCCGAGACGGCCTAAGAAAGCTCCCACAGAACCCCACGACGCGCCCAGACAGCCCAAGAAGACCCCAGAAGCCCATAAGAGGACCCAAGGGGCCCCCAAGAAGCCCCCAACAGGCCCCAAGAGAACCCCGCGCGGCGCCAGGAGCAACGTCTTTTTGAAAGTTCCTCGTACTGTCCTCTGTCGTCGTCGTCGTCGTCGTCGTCGTCGTCGTCATCATCGCCCTCCGCATTCCTCCTCGTACTCGCCCTCGTTCTCTTCGTCCTCGTCCTTGTGCTTCTCTTCCTCCTCGTTGTCCTCATGCTCCTCCTCGCTATCCTCACGTTCGCCACGTCGTCCTCGTCATCGACTCCTCGTTGTCCTCGCCTTCCTTGTCTTCTTCGCCCAATACGCCCATTAGACTACAGCGGCGCTTCCCATTCTTGTCCGATCAGGTTTCAAATCGGCCCCCCCCCCCCTTCCCCTCGCGCGGGCGAGGTGGACCCCCCTCTTCCGCAGGGGGTGGAGGCTGGGGGGGTGTGACCCCCCGCCCTCCCGTACGACGAAACCAGGACGAGGATTCATTCGGGCGAAGATAAATCGAGAATCTCTGAGATCCGGCGGCTCCCCGAGAGCCTTCCAGGAGGAACCAAGAGGTCCCCAAGGGGCCCCCCAGAGGCTCTCAAGAGGGCCCCCCCAAGAGGCTCCCGAGAGGCCCCCTAAGACGCTCCCAAGAGGCCCCTGAACTGTCCCCCCGAGAGAGCTACGAGGAGATCCCAAGAAACATCCATGAGGACTCTGACCCACAGCAGCGTCGTCGTCGTCGCCACCGCCGCCATTGTTGTCGTTCCCCTTCAGGGTCGGCGGCACCGGCCGTCACTCGAGAATCTTCGAAATCCGGCGGCTCTGGAGGATGTCTCGCGCGCTGCGACCTTCTCACGCCGTAGGGCTCCTCGCTGAGATCTGAGAGCGTCCCAGAACGCTCTGGAACGGATTTCTCCTGCCCGTCCGATCCTGCGCGCGAGGAAAGGGGGGAGAGGGGACCCGGCTTTGTGTTGTGCGTGGACGTCGAGACCTCCAGGTTTCCGGACGTCGGGAATGCTGGGGGGGAGGAGCAGGGGCGGTTCAGAATCTGCTTCCCTTTCGAGCGACCGCGCAGAAGGCGCTCTTTCCCACACGAGGGCCTCTGGTCGTCTCTGGCTTCCCAGCGCCCAAGGGCGGCTGGGCGGCCGCGTCCTCCCTGCTGCTCAACGCCATCCTCCGCGGCTCTCACAGGTCGCCCAATTTCGCACTGCGCGCTGCGCGAAGCGCTGTCACTGCCGCACCCTCGCTCGGCCCAGCCCTGGAGAAGGGAACCTCTGCGGCCCAGCTCCCGAGGCGCGAAGCGCGATTCTACCTTCGGACCCTGGCCGGGGCCGCTCTGGAGCGGATGCCTACCCAGGCTTAGCAGGCAACTCCTGGGAGGTCTGCGTAAGAATGATTCGGGGCTATGCCGGATTGATTGATTGGCCATACGTCGGGCTCAGCCCAGATTGAAACCAGCACCAAGCCAGATTGAGCAGTACCAGCCAGGAACATGCCCGTCGCCTGTGCCGAGCTGAACCTTCCCAGGAGTTGCACCCCACCAGGAGTCCGAGCTCAAGTCCCTCAACTAGAACTTCTGAGCTCGCGTAAGAGCGCGGTACGGGCGACTCCAGAACCCCAGAAACCAACACACGCTGTCATCCCTCTGGGGCGCTGGTTCTACTTCCGCCGTCTTCCGTCGGCGGAGCTTCCCTCGTCCTACTTCCTCCGCCTCCTGCCGGCCTTCCGCCGACGCGCAGACGTCAGCCCCTTCGGCCCTCCGAACCGAGACCTTTCCTCGCAGACGCCCGGAAGGGGCACGGAAAGAACTGGGCACGCTGCCCAGCCACGGATGCTCTATCTCAGACCGACAGCGGCCGCTGCCGTGCAAGCGGCCCGCTGCCTCAACCGGACACCGCCCGCAGCGGCGCTGACAGCCAACCCTTCTTCAAAATGGACAGGCACTGCTTGCGCGCACTACTTCTGTCCATGTCCACTGCGACGTGGAGTTTTGGGTTCCCTTCCCCAGAAACCAGAGGCGCGCTGGATATGGATAAATTTGCCCCCTAGAGGCTCGATTTTCATCCATATCCAGTGCGCCTCGGCCTTGTGACGTTCCTTCCATAAAAATCCAAGAAGCACTGCATATGGATATGAGCCTTGCCCGCACTGCTGTCCGTCTTCGAGCCCCTCCCTTCCGCAGCACCCGGTCCGTTTGTGCCGAGGCTGCCCTCGACCGCTTGGAAGCGCAGTTCCTCTCTGGAGCAGGATCGGCGGCGAGCCCACGGGGGGGGGGGGGGGACTGGGGGGAGAGGGCGGGCGCTCTCGGGAGGCTCGGGCGCTCCCCGGCACTCTGAGAAACATCTTCGGAGCCTTCCCACCAGAAGCGCAGGACACTTCCCAGAGGGTGCGAGGGCTTCGGAGCCGTCCCGCCGCCCTCCGAGAGGGCCTCTTCGCCTCCTCACTTCCCCCCCTCGCTCGCCGCCGCTTGGAAGCGAGGCCCTCTCCGGAGGAGGAGGAAGCGACGCTTATTCTCGAACGCGCTCTCGCGCCGAGCCCCCGGGGATGATGCCAACACGTGACACAGCGACCCGGGCCGCGCAGCGCGCTCGCCAGCGGCGCGCCCCCGGGGGGCGACCCAGAACCCGTGGCCCTTTGGGCGGCCTCCGGGGTCGACGCAGCTGGCAGGCTGGCAGAGGACGCGCCCACGCCCACCGCTGGCAGAGGACTGCTACAGTCGGGGCGCTGACCTGAGGAACCCTGAAGAAGGAACGAGGCCCCTTATCCCCATAAGTTAAACTTCGATTTCCCATGGAAAACCTCAGGAAAACCTCAGACAAACTGTTAAGCCATCAAGGTTCCTTCTTCAGCGCCCCGACTATATCCAACAGCAGAAGAGAGCAACTTCGATTCGCACTGCCCCCGGCGATAAATGCAGTTCGGCCTCGCCGCCCCGCTCCCCCGACCAACTCTGTCTCGGCCGGAGATCCTCAGCACTCAAATGCTCAGGCGGGGGGTATGCTGTATCATCTGGGGCACGGGGTTAGTTTCAGGGGGACGTAAGACCTGGGTACAGGGGACTCGGAAATCCCCGACGAGGTCGTCAAAAAAATGACGAGGCCGAGCCTGCATTTTGACGAGGCCTCCCGCTGCAGACATCCCACGAAACTCCTCCTCGTCAAAATCCGAGGCGCGGTCGTCAAAAAACGATGGCGAACCCGAGTCCTGGCAAACCCAGGTCTTACGCTCCCCCGATAGTTGGTTGAGGGGGACTGTCAGGGGGGACGACGGGTTCGAGGTTCGAGGGCTTCCGGTGCTCTCGCCGGCCAACGGATATTTCCAGCCGCAGGGCGCCTTCTCTAGCGCCGGGGGGGCCCCGAATCGGCCGCAGGAGGGCCGAGTCATGGCCCGAACGGCCAGGGCTGCCCAGGGCATTTTCCACCACCACTACCATACGTAGGAGGAGGAGGAGGAGGAAGAGGAGGAGGAGGAGGAGGAGGAGGAGGAGGAGGAGCTCCTCATCCTACATATGGTAGTGGTGGTGGAAAATCTGCCCATCAAGGGCAACGCGGGGGGAACACCACGTCCAAAGGGGAAGCATCGGGCCGGACTCCACGAGGCCTCGCGGGATAGATCGGCGACGGGCCCCCGGCGACGAATCTCCGCACTCTCCTGGGCGGGGCGGGCTCTCGGGCCCCCTATCGGCGAGGAGCGGGCGATTGGGGGTCGCTGCCCGGCCCTTGAGCCCATCTCCCTCCCTAACGTTGCCCCTGGCTCCTCCTCCTCCTCCTCCTTCCTCCTCCTCCTCCTCCTCCTCCTGCTCCTCCTCTCCTCCCCTCCTCCTCCCCTCCTCCTCCTCCTCCTCCTCCTCCTCCTCCTCCTCCTCCTCCTCCTCCTCCCTTCCCTGGACCCCTCGCATGGGACACCAGGGAAGCCTTCGGCTGGCCCAGACGACGCATCCGGGGCGGCCCTGCCACCTGCAGGTGGTCGGCCGAAACGCGACACTTCAGGCGACCATTGCCAAGCCCCAGACCTCCGCCCGCCTCCAGGATCTGCGCTCCCGGACTGCAGGATCAAACACGCCCACGCGAACGGCGCTCAACTCCACGCGCGCCAGGTATCGACTCTCTTCGACCCCTTACGTCAATCCCCCGAACACGTCGATAGGTTACCAGATGAATGGATTGTTAAATGCGTCGCTTGCACTTGCAGAAGCCCTGCCCGCCCCCCTCCCTCCCTCCTCTTCTGCGGGGACCCTGAGATCCGATGGCGCGAGAAAATTGAAACATCAGAAAGCATCGCCACCAAAGCCTGCCGTGCACATCCCTCCTCCTCCTCCTCCTCCTCCTCCTCCCCTCCTCCTCCTCCTCCTCCTCTTCCTGGTCCTCCTCCTCCTCCTCCTCCTCCTCCTCCTCCCTCCTTCCCTCCTTCCCTCCCTCCCTCCCTCCCTCCCTCCCTCCTCTTCTTCCGCCAAGCATCGGGTGGGTCCTCGCCCCAGGTATTGCCCCACGAATTCTTAATCAGCCAGTACCCCATCGCTTTGTTCTTCGGAGTCTTGTAGGCCACCAGAGTAACCTACTGAGGAGGGGGGAGAAGGGGGGAGGAGGGAGGGAGAGGGGGAGGAAGGAGGAATGGGGAAACGACACTCAACGAGTTCTCTCGCAGCGTTTGGAAAAGGTGTGGACCCCCTCCCAGACGAGGGCAATATGACGAACACTGGACGCAACATGGAAACAACTTCTTTGTGATCCTCGCGATTGGCATCCTCTCCTTTTTCGTGCCGCCTGGAGCAGGGACAGGAAGCTGGGCAAGCTTGTTGAATGGTCGTGGGGTCAATCGGAGCGAATTGGTAGGGAACCATGGGCGCACGGTGTGGGGCGTGACTGGGGCTGGGGTCGCCACGTGCGGAGATAGGGCGTCAGGGTCATTCGCAACAGCACGAAAGGGGCGGGAGTCAAGTCGGGAAGGCGTGACATCTCATATCGCGGACTAGGGCGACAAGCGTCGTCGGCACCAAACCTGGAGGTTCCACGTCATCGTCCGCAGGAAAGCGCGAGCACGCAGAATACGTGGACGCTGTACAATCGAAACTGATAGTAGGGATGTGCGGTAAGGATGCAAGCCCCGTGGGTGCTCATGTCGAAGTTCTTTCGAGCGGGGTTGGCCATCGAAAGGGGTTAGGGATGGGCCGAAGATGCAAGGATGCAAGGGTCGTGTCAGCTTGCGATCAACAAACATGGGGGCGCGTTATTTTATAAGTTCAAACATGTCCCTCAGCTCGGGCGAAATCGCGGGGGGGGGGCGCCCGCAACATTGAAACACACGGCGGCGGCGGTGATTACCGCCGACGCCCTGCCTACTGCACGAGGGCGACAAGCGCGACGCAAGCGGTGCCGCTTCAGCGGAGGGGGGTCGCAGCGCATCCGGTACAGCGGGGCGGCTTGACCAACATAGCGACAGACGGGAAAGAAAAAGGAGGCGGGGGAAAGAGGCGCCTCGGCTGGCAGGCGGTGCCGACATGGCTACAAACAAAGGGGACAAGATGGGGTGGGAGCGGAGCGGGAGGAGGGGCAGGTGGAAAAGGGTTCCTCCTTCTCCTTCCCTCCCCCCCCCACTAGAACGTCCTACGACGACGACGGCGACGACGACGGAGACGGCGGACAACGACGCACTGCAGATGCTCCATGGGGAGGGGGGCGGGGATGCTGCGCATGCCCGCCGTAGCCGCCGACGACAACGACAACGACGACGACCACCCACGACGATGACGACGAGGACGAAGACGACTAGGACGACTAGGACGACGACGGCCACGACGACGACACACCACTTCGGATGCCATATTGGTTTATGTGTGTGCTGCGCAGGCCCACTGTCAGTCGACGGCGACGAACGACGATGATGACGACGACCACGACGGCGACGGCGACGGCGACTACGACGACGACGAAGACGTCGACGACGACGACGACGACCGACCGACCGACCGACCGACCGACCGACCACGACGACGATGACGACGACGACGACGACGACGACGACGACGACGACAACGCGACGACGACGGCGACGGCGACGACGCACTTCGGATGCCCGATGGGAAGCGGGGGTGCTACGTAGGCCCGCTGGACGACGACGACGACCACGACGACGACGACTTCGAGGACGACGAGGACGAGGACGAGGCCGAGGACAAGGGCGAGGACAAAGACAAGGATGCGGACGACGACGACGACGACGGAAGACGACGGCAACGACGGAGCCCTAGGCCCGCTGTAGTCGACGACGACGACGAAAACGACGACGTCAACAACGCGACAGCGACGGCGGCGATGACGACGCACTGCGGATGCCCCATTGGTAGGTGGGGTGCTGCATAGGCCCGGCCCGCTGACGACAACGACAACGACGACGACGACGACGAGTGTGGCACGACAGTAACCAGCCTGAGATAGGTGCAAAACTTCGCCTCGGATGCATACGATCCCTATGACAACTTCTATATGACAGGCAACCGTTCTAAGGCTGCCCTGCCGGGGGCACACGATACCTCAACGGCGCCCGCGACGACCCGCTGGTGCGCGGGAGAAACAAAAATGTTTCGCACCCCGCGGGGTCAACGCATCAGCCCCCGGGGGGGGGCTCAATTGTCAATCCCAGGCTGACATGACCCTCGGGCAGGCTACCCATCCTCGTCTGAAGGGGCCCTGGGACACACAAAGAAATACACACAAATAAAACGATTCCCCAAATTTTCACATATTTTCTGTGTTTTGGTCTTCCTCCCCACTTCCCATCTTTTCCCATATTTTCTGGGGAATCGACGATTCATTGTGTCTGTGTGTTTTATTTCCCTCCTGATCGTCATCGGTTTCGACTGCAGAGCTCGGGCTGAGCGCGGCACGCGGCATCTCGAGGGAGCCCCGCCCTCCGGAGACCACGCGCGCGGCCTCACAGAGAGCCCCGAGGGCCGAGCCCGCACGGCGCCCGAGCGCCCGCCGGTGCGCAACCCGAAACCCGCAAATCGGGAGCGGCCGAGAGGGGGGTGTCCAAGAGGGGGGGGGGTGCAAATCATGACCGGCGGCATGTGCGCGGGCCAGCGGGGGGGCCAGCGGGCGACCCCCGACCGATCCCCGGGAGACTCCCCCAGAGCGCTCCAGGAGCGCTCCAGGAGCGCACCAACAGGGCTCCGAGACGTCCCCGAAACCCTCAAGACGGGTCCAGATGCCCCCAAGAGGCTCCCAAGATGGTACACAAGGGTTCCGAGATGCCACATGATCGCTCCAAGACGCCCAAGATGGCCCCCAGACGCCCCAAGAGGCCTCCAAGAGCACTCCCAAAAGGGCCCCAAGAAGCAACATTCATAGCTTTTCCTGAAGTTTTTGAGAGAGATTTTGGAGCTTCCACCTTTTCGGCTTCCCGACGCCCCAAGACGGCCCAAGAGGCCCCCAAGATCGCCCCAAGAGGGCCCAAGAGGCCCCCAAGAGGGCCCCAAGATGGCCCAAGAGGGCTCGAAGACGGCCCAAGAAGCCTCCAAGACGGTCCAAGAGGGCCCCAAGAACGCCCCCAAGGGGCCCCAGAGAGGGAACACGAAACAACATTTCGAGCCCTCGGCCCTAAGAAGCCCCCACGAGGCCCCAAGAGGCCCCTAAGAGGCCCCAAGAGGCCCCCACGAGGCCCTCAGGAGGCCCCCAAGAGTCCCCCAAGCGGCCCCAGGAGGCCCCCCAAATGCCCCCCCGAGCGCCCCAGGAGTCCCCCAAGCGGCCCCAGGAACCCCCAAAGCGCCGCATTGACACCAGGCCCTCGGGCAAACGGCAGACATGAGACTGTATGGGCCGGCGGAATGAGCGAAGCGATTGACAAGAAGAGGCGCCATGAAATCTGAGGGGAAATATCATGGCCCCAGCCATGATATCCACCCCCCCTAGTCATCACCCCCCTCTTTGCCGCCCCCAAGCAAAGGTGCCAGCGGCCACGGCAGGATCGACTCGGTGGCGATGAGCATCCCGTGCGCCGCAGCCAGGAGCGCATGAGCCTCCACTGATAGGAGGCCTCCAAGATGGGGTGCGAGTAGAAGGGGTCGGAGGATCGTGCCGCCTCGCCGATACATCGGCGACGTCGACGTCGGCGATGCATCGGCGACGCCAGCGCGGATAACATCGGACTCCGCATCGAACCGCATCGCCGATACATGGGCGTTGCGGCGCAATCATCCGACTCCATCTGCTCCGACTTTTTTGGGAGGCCTAGAACTGAAGGTGAAACATGACCTCGCCGCTGAAGAAGGGGAAGCGGGAAAGGACGAGCAAGAGCATGACGAAAGACTCGATGCATGGGGGGGGGGCAGCGCGCGTAGTGGTCGTGACAGTCTGGGGCACCCAGACCAGCCGAAGCCACACCACCTCTCGCCCAATGGGTGGATCTGTCTGGAAAAGAGGTCACCCAGGCCGCCCGCGCCCACCAGCACGGTCAGAGCCGAAGCGAATGGGTGACGCGGCCCGCACCAGCCGACGGGGCGAACTTGCTCCTCGCGTCCGCGAGCGACCTTCCGCAGGTGCTCGGTGAGCAGCGCGGTCGGCGGCCACGTCTCCACGCCCAGGGCACCGACCGCGAGGCGAGCAGCGCGCCGAGGGCGAGGGCGTTGCCCCGGGCGGTGGGAGGAGGAGCAGCGCGGGCAGCCGCGGGGCCCGCGCCCTCCGTCGAGGCCGCCCGCGCCCCCCCGGGGGCGGCAGGCGCCAGCGCTTCCGCAGGCGCCAGGGGCCTGCTGGCCGAGCCGCCGAACAAGGCCAGCTGCTGGCCGAGCCGCCGGAACAAGGCCAGCCGCTGGCCGACCTGCCGAGCGCCTCCCGGAGGGGGGCGGAGCAGACGGGGTCGGGGCAGAGCGTGGCAGCGCTGATGCATCGCCCACGCGCGGGCGACGCTCGAACTGCACCGGCCCTGGTCCACGACACGTCCGCGAGGCATCCTCGAGGCATCGCGGGTGCATGGTAGATGCACGTCGACCTGCGCATCGAAACGAATCCGTACAGGATGCCGAGGGGCATCATGAATGCGCAGATCGAGACATGAATCCTCGGATTGAAAATGAATCTGCGGATCGAACGGCGAAACCGCGGATCGAGAAATGAATCCTCTAATCGAAAAATGAACCCGAGAATTGAAAACATGGTGGGTTTGGTTGAAACCAGTATCCACGGATGGACTCAAGTATCCGCGGGCGGACACATGAATCCACGGATCGACAATGAATCCGCGGATCGAAACCGCTGTCCTCGGATCGGCAACGGGATCCTTGGAACCGCTCGGATACCCCCTCCCCCCGGAAAAAGGGATATCCGAGCGTCTTTCACGCAGGGCCTCCATGCGTGTGGCGCTTTGACCATGCATCGGTGACGCATTGTTGATGCGTCGCCAGTACGTCTCAAAGCGTCGCCGACGATGCACCGGCGATGCGGGGCCATCCTCCGACCCCATCTACTCGGACCCCATCTAGGAAGCCCAGACTCAGGGCGAGCCAGAGCCCCCCGTCTCAAGCTGGCCAAGATACGGCCGGACCCAGGACAGAAGAGCACCCTTCGAGAACATGAGACCCTCCGCCGGCCAACACGAAGAACATTCGAGGGTGCTGCCCCCCAGGATGCCCAAGACAATCCAACAGACACGAAGAACATTAGGGACCCCTCCCCCGAACTGACCTCGATCTGATACCTCGGTCCGGGCGGAGGCGGGAGCGGAGGCGGAGAGGTGGAGGAGAAGGACGAGGAGGAGGAGGAGGCGAGGGCGGAGGAGGAGGAAGAGGAGGAGGAGGAGGCGAAGGCGGAGGAGGCGAAGGCGGAGGCGGAGGCGGAGGCGGAGTCGGACTCCGAGGAGGAGGGGGAGGAGGAGCGGACCGTAGAGAGAGGAGGGGGAGGGGGAGGAGGAGGAGGAGGTGGAGGAGGAGGAGGGGGAGGAGGAGGAGCAAGAGAAGGAGGAGGCCTAGGCTCAAGGCGAGCCAGAGCCCTCGGTCGCAGGCGCCGGCAAGGCTGACACGGTGCATGCTCGGGGAGACGGCGCGCCTCGCGGCCCCCGCATCGGCGAGGAGGCAGCGCTCGAGGAGTGCCCGCCGCGCCACAGCGAGGCCGCCACGCGCCGCTTCGGGCTGGCACCGGCGGTGTAACGAGAGCGCGGCCAGGTGAGCACGAAAGGCATGGGCGACTGGAATATGTTTGTCCCCCGATCCGGGCGACCACTCCTATAAACGGACACAACACAACACCAATCAAGGAGACGCATCAAACTACAGAACGTGGCGCAAGGTCGGGACGTACCCCTGGTTCCCGATGGCGGTAGCGAGAGCTGGGGGCCGTAGGATTGCGCGACGGCGCGCGCGCTGCCCAGATCTCGGCCCGCAGCGTCTCGACGATGGCGAGAAGCTTCTGGTTGCAGAGGGACGCGGTTGAAGTAACCGTCGCTCCCAGGTCCTGGGTGATCGCTTGCTTGACGGTGTCGAGCATCGGGCGCAGTTCGCCACGACAGAGCTGGCGCATGAACTCTTCGGAGCACATGTCGTCATCAGCAGCGTCATCGTCATCACCAGGATGACCAGGGGCAGCAGCAACGACGCTTGCAAGGATGAACACCAGGGGCAGCGCCGCCCGCCCCAGCGGCGGCCCTGGCAGCCGCAGTTCGCATGACCAGAGGAGGCAGGATCGAAGGCGGAAGCAGCGCAGGACCACCAGCGGCATCGCCCGCCGCACGTGGCGCGGAGACGGGAAGGCCTCGCAGGGCCCGAAGCTCAGCACGAGGATCGACGGTGGCACGGCGCCGTGGGGCCAGCCCGTCGGCCGCGCTCCAGTCGGGGCCACGGGGCGGGGGGGCCTCAGCTCGAGCCGGCACGGCCACGCGCGGAGGGCGGCGGCGGGCGAGGGGGGAGCGCGGGGAGCAGGCCAGGACGGATGCGGAGGAGGGGGGCGGAGGAGGCGAAGAGGGCGAAGAGAGGTCCGATCCGACGCCGAGCGGGGTGGCCGTCCGGCTTCAGGAAGAGAGACAGCCTCAGGACCGACACAGTTGCCTGAGAAACAGGAGGAGGAGGAGGAGGAGAACGGCGGATAACAGGAGAAGCAGGATGAGAGGGCGGAGGAGGAGGAGGAGGAGGAGGAGGAGGAGGAGGAGGAGGAGGAGGAGGAGGAGGAGGAGGAGGAGGAGGGCAGGAGGAGGAGGAGGACAAGAAGGAAGGGGAGGAGGACGGATGAAGACGAGGAGGAAGAGGAGGAGGAGGAGGAGGAGGAGGAGGGGGAGGAGGAGATGGAGGAGGAGGGGGAGGAGGAGGAGCAGCAGCAGGGAAGGCATGGGGGGCAAACTGAAGAGCAAGCCACCGCATGGTTCACGGTGAAGTCGCCTCCGTGCTCCGAGTCGCTGAGTATGCCCCCTCCGATGGTCCATTTATCAAGCGGTTGGACAGGGGATGCATGGCGGGGAAGATAAGAGGGGAGAGTGTCAATCCCCCTCCATCTCCTGCCACTGACCTCCACGACACAGCCTGGCGGCAATGCCTGCAGAACAGCATGCATACCACACGCTCGAGCGATGATACTGTCTGTACGTATACCCCACATGCTCCCACACGAAGTATTGACCTCCAGGACACATCCTGGCGGCAAAACCAGCGTCCTGCGTGCACGCGGCACACTCACGTGATGTCTCGGCAGCGCTGCCGCTGTTGCCCTGCAGGCACCGAACTCTGCGGACGAGGGAGCCCGTGAGACCCAACCGACCGACACCGATCAGCACAAAGCGGCATCGGCGCTGCACTACTGCAGGTTCGTGCCGTGTCGACCCTGGCGTTGGTTCCTGACACCGCGCTGGATCGTTCAACCTTGAACGATCGGCCGTCTCCGCAACGTCCGATCGTTCAACATCGACCGATTCTGGGCCGCCGGCGGCGTTCAACCTTGAACGCCCGCGCTGGGGTCGCCGCTGGTCGACACGACGCAGACCTACCGTACACAACTCCACCTCACCCTCCTCCTCCTCCTCCTCCTCCTCCTCCTCCTCCTCCACCTCGCCCTCCCCCTGTGCTGCGCGCTCCCGCAGGCGCGGGTCCTGGCGGCAGGACTCTGACTCTGACTCCGACTCTGGCTCTCTGAGTGGTGGCGAGGCCCGCGCGCGGGGGCCAAGCCCTCAACGAGAAGACGACGAGGAGGAGGAGGAGGAGGAGGAGGAGGAGGAGGAGGAGGAGGAGGAAGGGGAGGAGGAGGAGAAGGAGGAGGAGAAGGAGGAGGAGGAAAAGAAGGAGAAGGAAGAGGAGGATGAGGAGGAGGAGGCGGAGGAGAAGGAGGAGCAGGAACAGGAGGAGGAGGAGGAGGAGGCGCCCGAGGAGGACGAGGAGGCGGAGGGGGAGGACGACGGCGGGGACCACCCAGCCCCCCCGCCGTCGTACATGCTCCAGTGAGTGGCGTCCACGGACACGGCGATGGCGCCCCCGGACTCGTAGAGCGCCTCGGGCGCGGGCAGTGGTGAGGGGGGGGCAGCGGAGCGGGGGGAAGAGGTTGACTACCCATGAGGGGGGAAAGCAGATCAGGAAGAAGGCGAAGAAAAAAACATGGGGGGGGGACCCGATCAGGTGAGAAGCGGGGGCGCCTTTTTTTCAGAGTGCGTGGAGGAGGAGGGCAGGGGACGGGAGGAGCAAGCGGGGGAGAAGGAGGAAGGGGAACTGGGACACACAAATAAATACACACAACTAAAAATATCACCCATATTTTCCCATATTTTCTGGGTTTTTGTCTTCCCCCCCACTTCCCATATTTTCCTATATTTTCCTGGGAGTCGACGATTAATTGTGTCTGTGTGTTTCTTTCCCTCCTGAAAGGAGGAGGCTCTTGGCTCTAGGTTCTACGTTCTAACTTGGCCCCGCGCGCGCCCGCGCCGGGGCACGAGGTCCAGGTAAAAAGGAACAAACAGGCAACCAGGTAAAGGAGGCGGAGGAGGAGGAGGAGGAGGAGGAGGAGGAGGAGGAGGAGGCGGAGGAGGAGGAGGAGGAGGAGGCGGAGGAGGAGGAGGAAGAGGAGGCGGAGGAGGAGGAGGAGGAAGAGAAGAAGGTGGAGAGAGGGAGGGAGGAGAAGGGTGGAGGAGGAAAAGGAGGAGGAGGAGGAGGAGGAGGAGGAGGAGGAGGGGGGGGAGGAGGAAGAGTTCTGGAGTTCTGGGCGTGGCGGGTCGGGAAAACACAACTTACACGCTCGATGTCTGCCTCTTGGTTAGCTCAGCTTTGCTGGAGGCTTTAGGCCAGAGAACCTTGGGAATACGAGTTACGTCATCAGCCCGAGTGCCCTCTACCCATACGACGCGCGGCTTGGCTAGTTCCTTGAGCTGCTGATCTACATCGAACCCGCACGCTAGACAGATACATGCCCCAGTCCCGCGTGATGTCTCGATTTCTGACTTGAATCGAAAAAGCCCTGCAATATGCACCTGCCGCCCAGGGGGGGGGGCCAAACAGAGCGCCGTCCACATTAACTAGCTCAAAGCACGAAGAGGTGAGCCAGTTCTTGCGCTTAGCGTTGGTGGCTGTACCCTTGCACCTACTGAACTTACTCTCGATTGACTCGCATAGCACATGCTGAAACGAGGCAAACGCACAAACAGAGGGGGGGAGGTCTAGGTTGGGCCTGGCGGGCAGCTTTCCTACCACGGCTTTTCTCATGCTCGTGCTCTGCAGCCAAAGCCTCAATCGTGCCCTGGAGAATCCTCATCCGAACCAAGAATGCCTTGTGTTCATTGGCGACAACTCTCGTGCCGCTATTTTCTGACACTCGACACGTCAGCTCCGCGCGCGGCAAGGGCGTCAGCCATGGAATTACCCAACACCAGCAGCTTGGGAGCCTTGCAATGTAGCGCGTCCGCAGCCTCGATGTGCGAGCGGATGGACAGCATCGTGCACTATCTCTGGATGGTCATTGGCACGCACCACTTTGCCATCACAGGTCACTCTCTGGCCCCGATGCCTTCCTATAGCGCTGATTGCACCAACCGATGATGGCACTCTCGCTGTCCGTGGTATATATTGCAGCCTCTGTTGCCGCGCGGCGCAAGAACTAATGCCAGCAACTCTCCCCTGGCCACCGTCTGGCGTGGCCACGGTACGCCTCCCCAGGCACCGGGAGGGACAGATCCACGTCGTCGCCGAAGTTGCGGGAGCTGGCTAGGTCGCATATCACCCTTCTCCGGCCGGGTTTTTTGCTCTCGGGGCAGCCGCTGGCGCCCCCAAATACGTACCCGATAGTGTTCCAGGAGTCGGTACCCTGAGGCACCTCCATTGCGACCCGTGATGTTTGGATGGACCCTCGCGTTCAGAAACAAACTCCCGCCTCTCCCTGCGCAGATGCATCCCCGGCGAACTTCTCCGTCAAATCGCTCACGTCATGCCGAACTCGTCCTTCGAACGCCCGCGCGCGGCGGAAGGCAGTCTCTCGATGTATCCGGCAACGCAAGCAATCCTAACGCCCCTGCCGTCGTGCCCGTGGCCATGTGGATCCGGGAGCGATCGACAATATGATACCTGCGAACCTGCGACCTCCTGGACCTCCCTCCAACTGTTGGGGCAAACGACGGTACGACTGATTGCACACTCCTGCTTCCAGTCCTGACCCTTCGTGATGTAGAGCCGCACGCTGCCGCAGACTGGCTTGTACGGTCTGCTCGTGTTCGCCAAAGCAGGAACTGGGCAAGTCGATGCTTTCGATACACGCGAAATTGCCGGCAGAAAATTGCCAGGTGTGTTCGGCACCGTCACAACTACATGGCGTGGCCCAGCTTGTCAGTGAATCTTGTCGCCAAACCGCCTGAAATACATAACTGATCGCTGATCCTTGAAACCCTCGAATGTGTCGAATCTTTTGAGCTTGTGGAACAGACGCAACTTCTCGAACCAGGTCTGGCCACGTTCGGCTTACGCCATCCCGGATACTCGCTCGACGGGCCCAACAAGACAACCACAAGCGTAAGTGTTCCCTTGGCATCTTGCAGGCAATGTCTCTACATGCGGTTTTGAAGCTTATGGTGTGGCCGAACATCGTCCCGCAATCCGGGGACCGGGTGCAAATTGTCAGCGGTACTGTGTCATGGCGTCTCCGAAAAAAAAAGCGTGCAGCTTGTGCCCATATGTTCCTGCCGTTCGTGCTCCAATCTGGATGCGAGGCCGAACCACCGCGTCGCCCGAACATATTTGATCGCGCGCTTGTGCATGGCCTCGCGCTTGGCCTGCCGCGCTGACCTACATGCCCGTGCGCGCCGAGAGTCACCTCCAAAATCTGCCCCCAGGTAAGGCGCCCGCGGCGTCGCTCGCACCAAACACCCTTGAGCTCGCACTCGTCGTTTGCAATGTATTTGGCGTCGTCCAATTTCGCGAATGCAACCGCGCGTTCGGGCGAAAGGAGGAGGAGGACGAGGAGGAGGGAGGAGGGAGGAGGCGGAGAGAGGAGGGAGGAGAAGGTGGAGAGAGGATGGGGGCGGAGGGAGGAGGCGACAGCACAGGACAGGACATCCGCACGAGGGGGTCACCGTCAATGCGCCCGCGAAGGTGCAGTGTGGGGCGCATGCGTAATTCCCCTGCGTGAGGGCAATGCAGCTAGGACTCGACGGCCCTTCGGCACCTTTTCGAGGGAACTGCCGCGGCCTGCGCAGAGGCGGGCACGCTGCCCTCCTCGCCCCAAGCCCCCCCCCCCTCCTCCACCACAGGCGAGCGTGCGGCCCCTTCGCCGGGAGCCCTGTACTGCCAGTCAGTAGCTCTCCGATGAAACCAAAGGGGCGCGGCGCCGCTGGCGGTGCGTTGCCAATGGCGCGTGCGAGCGGGGCTGCCCAAAAAGGGTGTTTCCCTGAACCCCTCTTTACTAGGCGAGCCATCTTTCTCTCTGCATCCCACGGATAAGGAGGACCGAGACAGAGAGGGGTGGGCACTCCAAGATGCCCTCGCTAGTGCGATCGGCGCCCCCTGCGCCAAGACAGTTGCTTTCCCTCGCGCCACACGCGCTCAGAAAAGCGCGACCCCTGCTCGTGTTTACTTCACCTCGCGCCGGCTCGCCCGTCACTTCGTTTCGTCGCCCTCTGCAAGGTCACGCTCAATAGCTCAGAAACGCCCAAACACCAAAAACGGGCCTCCAGAGGCGGGAAATTACGATCACTAACTTGCGGGGTCTACTCAACACGTTCTGGGGTTCTGGGGACGGGGAAGCGGGATCGCAACGGCTGTCAACTCTGGGCGGGCAATTTTGTCGACCGCGATCCCAACTGACAGCCATCGAGGGGCGGCCGAGCCCCCTCGTCCTCCCAAGATCTCGGGCTCCTCCTCATGGATCTCCCGCCTCCTCCTCGCTCCCCTCCCCTCTCCCGCCGCCGTCCGTCATCCTTCCTTCTTCGAAAGGATCAAGATACGCAGCATAGACCTACACTCTCGGAGCTTTTCGCAGCTTTCCTGGATCGTCGCCGGATCCCCCTCTCTGGAGCGCGGAGCGCGCCAGGGGCGGCGCCGGAGGCGCCGCCAGGGGGACCCAGCGCCGATACAGAAAATCTGCGCGGAGCGCCAACAATTTATGTGTCTGCGGTGTTTTGTCCTTTGACCTTCCCACCTTCATCTGTCATCCATCTTCTTCCTCCCCCTCCTCCTCCTCCTCCTGCTCCTCCCTCCCTCCTCCAACCTCCTGCCACCTGGCCTTCCTCCCTGAAGGCCCTCCTAGATGGGGACGGAGTAGATGGGTCGAAAGATCGCGCCCCGCATCGCCGACACATCGGCGATGCACGGGCGATGTATCGTCGATGCGCTGGCGATGCATCGGCGACGTCGGCGATGCTTCAGCGATGTCGGCGTGGAGAAAATCGGGCTCCGCATCGAGCCGCATCGTCGATGCATCGGCGATGCGGCGCGATCCTCCGACTCCATCTACTACGACCCCATCTGGGTGGTAATGCGGGGTGGCCCCACTGGGGGGGTGAAGAACCAGGCCCAGGAGGGGCCTTTGGGGTCTCCCTTTGGGGCCACCGTTGGCTCCAAAAGAGGCCCTGCAGGGCCCCTCGAGGGCCCTTTCCTTCACCCCCCACCGGGGTCACCCCCCCCTTACCACCCGCCCGACCCTCCGAGGACCACCCGCCCGACCCTCCGAGGCCCTCCTCCGAGGGGGGGAAATGAGAAGGAGAAGGCCTTCTCAGAAGGCGGCGGGACTTCTCAGAAGACGGCGCGCCTTCTGGGAAGCTTGTTGTATGTCTCCGGGGCAGGCTCCGACAACTCCTCCGAAGGCCCGGGGACTGCCGAATCTTCCGAGAAGACCTCCTCCGTCTCACTTCCACCCCCGTCGCTCGCCGCCGCCCCTCCCTCCCTCCCCCCCTCCCTCCAGCCTCCAACTTCCCCCCGCCAGCCTTCCTGCCGCCTGCCCCTCCTCGCCTCCTCCTTGGCAGCCCTCCCGAGTGGAGAAGGCCTGCCCATCTGCCCCCCATCCCCCCAAAGGAGCGGCTCGGGCTCCCTCGCCTCCGCCGCCCTCGCACCACTCTCTTCCCAAGACGAGGCCAGGGCGAAGATAACCGCGGGCAGGGACACGTCGAGAATCTCTGAGATCGGGCGGCTCTGGAGGATGTCTTGGGCGCCGCGGCCTTCTCAGAGCGTTCTGGGGCGCGGAACGGATGCATCCTCGTGCTGGCCCCGTCCGTCCGACCTCCTCCCCGTCCGCCTCGCATCTTCCACCTTCAGTACCCTTCCTCTGGCCTTAGTATTATCCCTACTTCCTGTTTCTTCGCGTCTCCTCCATCATCCCTCCGCGCCAACACAACAACCCCCTCTTCCGCATCCTCCTCAACGTCGTGCTCCTCCTCTTCCTCCACTGATCCACAGGCGTCGTTGTCGTTCTCATCCTTCCCCTCCTCCTCCTCCTCCTCCTCCTCCTCCACCTCCTCCTCCTCCTCCTCCTCCTCAGTCTCCTCCACTCCCTCCTCTCCCTACTGCCCTGTTCCATCTTCCTCCTCCTCTTTCTTATATTTCTTCTTCTGCTACTCTCCCTGCACTCATCCCCCCCTCATCCTTCCTGACACGGTCACGACGCGCTAGCATGGTTTGCGGATCCGTGACGATGACGCCAGGCCCACGGATCGAACAACGCGCCCCCGAAAGACGAAAACGGTGCAGCCCGATCTTGGCGAGGGAGCGCGCCGACATCGCGGACGCAGGACCCCATGGCAGACCCAGGCGCCTCAGTCGATGCTTCCGCTTCCTCAAACTTGGCACCCTCTGCCCTCGCCCATCGCCGCTCCCGATCTCGCAGCTCTCCCCATCTCGGGCCCCTCGGGTCGGTCGAACGAAAAGGAAGGAGGAGGAGGAGGAGGAGGAGGAGGAGGAGGACGAGGAGGAGGAGGGAGGAGCAGGAGGAGGAGGAGGAGGGAGGGGGGGGAGGAGGAGGAGGAGGAGGGAGGAGGAGGAGGAGGAGGAGGAGGAGGAGGAGGAGGAGGAGGGAGGAGGAGGAGGAGGAGGAGAAGGAGGAGGAGGAGGAGGAGGAGGAGGAGGGAGGGAGGAGGGAGGAGGAGGAGGGAGGAGGGAGGAGGGGGAGGAGGGAGGGAGGAGGGGGAGGGAGGGAGGGAGGGAGGGAGGGAGGGAGGGAGGGAGGGAGGAGGAGGAGGAGGAGGAGGAGGAGGAGGAGGAGGAGGAGGAGGAGGAGGAGGAGGAGGAGGAGGGTAGAAGGGGGGCCCACGAACTCGATCACGTCGCCGGTTCTCACGGTGCCTACGGGCGTCGAAAAAGCTCCGGGCCGCGGACTCAGCAACCGCCCCTTGCCGTATCCAAGGGGAACCAAGAGGTTCCGATACCGCTACTCTCGGCTGTGGACAAACGTCCTTTTAGTAAACCTCCCTTTAGTGAAAGCGGCCTGGGACCGAAACCGACGGACCTGGACCCGCAAAAATGACGGCCGCGACGCCCTCTCGCGAACCGAAAACGGCCAATTCGCTAATCGACGTGTCAGGGCCCGAGGTCTATCTACCCCCGATACTCTTAGCCTAGCCCGGAGGAGGGACATCAGGGGAGGGGCACCGCAGGGGCTCGACCACAGAGAAAACCCTCCACAGGAAGCCCAGCCCTGAGACCCAACCACGTCCATCGCTTGCTGGTGTGGAACGTCACGCCATAGCAAAGCCATCGACACGCAAGAAACCCTGGGCACCCTGGAGGCAAGCAGGGTGTTTCGTGGCATGGGCTGCCACTGCATGGGTGCCTCTGCCTCCTCCCACACTCCCCCTCCCCCCGAGGGCTGGAGACGCCTGCATGAGAGGATGCAGCTTGTTGGCGGGCAGCACCTGGCGGAGGCATGGGAGCGCGCGCTCCCTTCCACCCCCCACTGGGAGGCCACATGCGAACCCGACCCCATCAGCCCACGATCTCTGAGCAAGGGGGGAGAGAGGTGGATTCCACTTCGTTCGCGAGGTCCCCAACGAAGTGAGCCCCACCTCCCCCCCTAGAAATCGTGGGGTGTTGTATGGTCGGGTTCGCATGTGGCCTCCTACCCACCCCTTGCTACTGTCAGGTCGGACCTGTCCCCCCACAGGGGGATTGTGGGCGAACAGCTGTTGCAAACAACCACAACAATGCTCCAACCATGCTCAAACATAGTTTGCACCGTCCTGTTTTGCTATTTTTGGATACTCCTCCTGTAGAGGGACAGGCCCGACTTAATCCTACCCACACCTCGCTACGGCAGGTTCGTGTCGTGCCGACCCCAGCGTTGGTTTTTGACACCGCAGGGATCGTTCAATCTTGAACGATCGGCCGCTGCCGCAACGTCCGATCGTTCAACATCGATCGATTCTTGGTCGCCGGCGGCGTTCAACCTTGAACACCCGCGCTGGGGTCGCCGCTGGTCGACACGACGCAAACCTACCGTACTGAGCCTCCCCTCTCCGCCTCCCTCTCCCCCCTTCTCATGCTCGGCCTCCTCCTGCTCCTCGCCTCTCCTCCTGCCCTCGCCCATCAGGGAGGGACCTCCGAGCTTCACCGAGGAGCGCCCTCCGTGCTTCCCAGCGTTGGGTCGGGCCTGTCCCCCTACAGGGGGAGCTTGGGCGAAAAATGAAGACTACTCGACCCATTCGAGGGCTTCATTCAAGGGCTTCGAGGACGATTCGACCCACAAATAATAAAAACATCGTCCCATGACTTGTTTAACAACGATTCTTGAAAACCCCTCCTGCAGAGGGACAGGCTCGACTTCCTCCCAACGTCGGCGGGCTCCAGATTCCCGAGCTCGTCTGTTCCAAATTTCCTCAGGCCGCTTCTTCTCGGTGTGGGGTTCGCGCCCTCGTTTCCGGGTCGACGTGTTCATCCCTCATCCTCATCCTATGCATGGTGCTCTCGTTGCTCCTCGCACCTTGTTTGTCCCCAATCCCCCTTTGGCGCGTACACGCTCCAAGAGTGCGTACTGCGATTCCTGCCAGATCGCGGCCTCCTTCACGACATTCGTGTCGAGCATCTGTGACGAACTCGGTCGATCCCGATCTGCACATACCCCTCACTGTTGCGGGTTTTGATTTGCACAACGGGAGCGACTGCTCACATGGGCGAAGGCGATTCCCCTCCCTGGCGCGCGGGGCCTGCCAAGGAGAAGGCTTCCACGCCGATCCGAGAGATCCGGGCGGAACTCTGGAATTTGATATGTTTGCGAGGATCTGGATAATCATTGATATCGTTAGTAGTACGATTAACATTATTCTCCGCATTCTTATGAAGTGTAGGAAGAGCAATCCTATCATGCTTACTATTCTTCGTGAGGAACATTTCCCATCTTGCCGCACCCGTGCCGTCGGGTCGCAATGCATCCTCCTCCTCCTCCTCCTCCGCCTCGCCCTGGTGGGGAATGTTCTTGTTTGCCGACTGGGCCGCCAGAGGTCCTTCCGTGTTCGATCGTTGGAGCACACATCGCTGGTTGCTCTTGCGGTCATGCTGTTGCCCTCCACGTGCGGGTTCGGATGCCCGAAATGGGCACGGAAAAATGGGTACAATGCCCAACAACAAATGTTGTCCCAAACCAACAGCGGCCGCTGTTGGGTGGGCGGCCTTCTGTCTCAAATGGACACAGGCCGCGGCGGCGCGGACAGCGAGTCCTGTTCAAAATGAACAGGAACTGCTGTTGGGCATCGTACCCATTCTTTCCGTACCCATTTCGGGCGTCCAGAGCGGGTTTCAGCCTGCCGTCATGTGAGTCCACGCCCCCGGCGGCGGCTCCCTGGTGGAGCCCTCTCGCGGACCTTCGATCCGATCCGATCCGCTCCGCTCCCCCCTCGTCTTAGGTCGGGGCTGTCCCCCTACAGGGGGATTTTGGACCAAAAACTGAAAACGTAGCCCCAGTCGTTTCCAGACCGTTGTTGTACTATTTTTGACTCGTCCTCCTGTAGCGCGCTCTCGGCTCTCCCCTCTCTCACCCCTCCTCGAGCGCACCTGGAAAGAAATCCAGCCTGCTCCGTCACCCGCGCACAGCTCGGCCGTGCGATCGGGTGTCGGAGCAGCCGGATAAAAGGCCGCGGCGGACCCAGGATTCAACGAGACGCCGTCTTGTCGAACAATAATGTGAAGCGCCTGAACATATACAGGGAACAAGAAACCCCTCTCTCCCCTCTCCTCCTCCACCTGCTGGCCCTCCTCTCTCCGCTCTGCTCCTCCTCCTCTTCCTCCCCCTTCCTCTTGATCCTTCCCGCTCCGACTGCTGCTCCACCTTCTCGACGTCCTCCCCTTGAGCCAGCATTCTCGTCCGCTATCCTAATTCTCCTCCTCCTGCAACTCCTCCTCCTCCTCCTCCTCCTCCTCCTCTTCCTCCTCCTCCTCCATTCCATTCCCTCATGAATAACTCCTCTCTGTCGTACCCCGAGGCCAGTCGAAAGGGCGGGCCAGGCGATTCGCCTGAGACCTCCTCACCACATATGACCCTAGCGCCGCGCGCATTCGCTTCGAAAAATTGCAAGCGTTTCGCGGATTGAGGGCGGGCATTCTTTTTAATGTAACTCTCGCCTCAGCGCCACATATTGAGGGCGGGTCATTTCCAACATATGGCTCTCACATCCAATTTGAAAAAGTTTCACGGATGTCGATGGCCAATGTGTCAGACATGGTGTCTTGGAAGGACTCTGGCTTGTGAGGACGCAGCAGTTATGTTGATTCGCGGTGTTGAAGTCCCAGGCATGGCGTTCTGGTACGATCCTCAATCGTCAAGATCAAAGCAGTCATGCCGATTTGTCGTGGCGTTGGAGTCCCGAGAATGGTGTTTCGGCACGCTCCAGGGTCTTCATACAGATCTCTCCCAACGAGGCGGCTCCGTCAGTGAAAGTGAACCCTCGGAGGGGCCTATGAAGAGGGAGCTTGGAGGGAGGGAAGATGTTTTCCAACATCGCTGATGAGTCTTGGGTTTACACTGCTGCCGCTGCTGCTCACGGCGGACTTGGTCGTAGACCTGAAGCCGTCCCCATCCCTGCCCCGAAAAGCATGCAGGGACGCAGGGCCCGTTTTAAAAGCTTGCGCCACCAACCGAAAAGGGCGGGCTTCCCCTGGAGGCGAGGGAGACACGAAGGACGGGGACAACACGGGAAGGTTTACACTGGTCCTCCCCCTCCTCCTCCTCCTCCTCCTCCTCCTCCTCCTCCTCCTCCTCCTCCGCCTCCCCGTGGCTACCCGCAGCAGCCGGACCCTCCCGCTGTCGCCTCGTAGCCGGTGATGCCGATGGCGGCCTTCTGGAAGACGTGATCCTTGCACTCCGGAGTGGACCCGAAGCCTGCGGCGCACCCAAGGAGTCATAATTATAACCTTAGGTCGGGCCTGTCCCCCTACAGGCCGACATCGTCCCCTGACTATTTTTCATTATTTTTGCATATCCCTCCGGTGGAGGGTCAGGCCCGACATATAATCAGAATCAGAAGACGGGAAACCACCGCAAGAAGCGTCGGGAATAGCATCTTACGGCCAGCTGGATTCTCCTCGAGAGTCGGGTCAGAACGCACCCCAGGAGAGCTCAGGGCGGCGAGGGCCACCTCCGAGGGGCCAGGACGAGGCCCAAATCTCCCTTCGCATCGGACGAGGGCGCTGTGGTTTTTTTCTTCTGGCGGGGCGCTTCCAAATCAACCCAGCTCGAAACATGCAGCAGAAGGATCGGGTCTAGGGATCCGCTCCTGTCTCTCAGCGATATGTATTTCTCCGAGGCGTCGGAACTCAGGGCAGGAGAAAGGGGCTCCAGCTGCCCCGCCCGTGCTCGCCGCTCTCCGCCGACCGCCCGCCCCTATCTCTACTAAGGGGCAACGTTCGGGAGCACCGGCCGAAGAGGGGGGGAGGGGAACATCATCCTGGAGTCTCGGAGGCGCGCACACATGGAGTAGCGATCCATGGACTTGGCGCGCGGTCCCCAACTCCATGGATCGGAGGAGGTGCCCTCCCCAAAATGCGGCCCATGGCGGCCTCGCTCGGCGGCTGAAATCCGCGATTTCCCATGGAAGCGGGACCCGTCGCTGATCCCCCCCCTTTAATCCATGTCTGCGATCGCCTGGGAATCGGCGACGCGTCGCGGACGCGTCGGCGAGGGGCTCCCGATGATGTCGATCCCGCGCGCTGCTGGTCGGGCTTGGGGCACCGAGCCCCTGTCTGCGATGCGTGGCCGCCTTGGGGCCCGTGCGCCCCCCCCCCTCCGAGCCTTGCCCCCCATCTGCCCCCCTCCACCCTGCCTCCACCTTTCGGTCGGGCCTGCCCCCCTACAGGGGGATGCTGAGCGAAAAATAAAATAAGTATACGTTTAAACAGTGCTCCGCAATAGTCAAAAGTGGTCCAAAACTCATCCCCAGGCTATTGTTTGAAATCAGATGTTTGAATTTTCCGCTCGTAGAGGGACAGACCCACCTCACCTTAGGTCGGGCATGTCCTCCGACAGGCGGATTTTGGGCAACAAATTAAACATAGCCCCCCAAAAAAAACTCCAACCACATTCAAAACTAATCGAACAACGGTCCCCATGTTGTCTTGTTGATACCATTTTTGAATATTCCTCCTGTAGAGGGACACGCCCGACTTACATCTACCCCCCTCACCCCGCCTCCCCCCCCCCCGCCCAATCCCCCGACTCGGACGAGACAAAGGGACGAGGTGCCCCTGGACAGGAGGCGGGCCCCCTTTCCTCTGGGGGGCCCATGGGGAGCGGCGGAGAGAGAGGCCCAGGTGCCACACGCTCAGGCCCGCGATCCCCTCGGGGGTCTGCTAACCGGGGTCAACAGACCCAACCAAAAAAACTACCATGCAAGAAAACAAGAACTGCAACGCAGGGCTTCGCAAACCCGGGTCAGCCAATATGCGCGGCCGCCTCGCGGCCACGGGCGGCTCGCTAACCCGGGTCAGCCAGAGGGGGTCTTCGCAGGATCCTGCAGGATCCGGTGCCCTGGCTGACCCCCGTTTGCACTGACCCTCGTCTCGTAAGCTCCGATTCCCCACAGCGCCGATTGCGCCAGGGAGAAACATTGCGCCAGGCGCGGTCGGGGCGAGATCATGGTCGGCGCCAGATCAATGTGGACGGGCCCGACCAAGATCGGCCGTACTCTGGGTGCCGACCACGCCAGCCAAGCAAGGGAAAGATCGACAATCGACCGGGGGTGCACATCGGGCAGGTACGATTCAAGAGTGGTGAGTTCCAGACTGGCTCGCAGGCTTCGGCCTGGCGGCCGCGACGGCGACCCAGGAACACTTGGTCAATCGCCCGCTTCCTAGCGGGGCATTTCTTAATCCTTAGGTCACACTGCGGCAAACATAAATCGCATCCGTCATCGCCCGACGGAAAGGGATCCCCAACCCCAGGATAAGGAGGGCCCTTCCTCCGCTCCGTTCTCGCACACTCGCTCGCCAACAACAGAGGCTCAAAACCCGTTCTAACGAATGAAAGACAGTAAGAGCGACGACTCAGATTGCAGGCATCGTGCCACCCGAAGGAACACATAATAAAGAACGAAGAAACTGTTCTGGCGACGGCCGTTCTTGGCAACAAACAGGTTCCGTGACATACACAATGCGAAATGCTTAAGAAATCATGGGTTAAGAAATTCATAGTCTCAGAAATTGAATAAAACCCAGAACTTCTATCAAAATCTTGGGATTTACATTGAAAAGTTAAGAATAATCGAGACTCTGGACGAAAACTTAGGTTTTCTTAAGCATCGCCTAGGGTGTACGCCTAAGTAGCAGCCCGAGAACCAAAGCCCCTCCTGAACCCACAGCGGTCCTTATTTCAGCGTCTTGACTGTACCCCGAATGCGTATACGCGTGAGAGAGGGAGGGAGAACAAACCGGCGGATCACGACTCGAATCGTCTCCTGCGAGAGCCGATGACCAAGGCGTGAGCGCGACGACGAGGCGAGAACGCCTAGCACATCACTCCAATCATGTCGAAGTACCGCTCAAGTGTCAGAGCAACGAAAGAACATTCATGATGCCCCCGAATGGGCCTCAAACAATTCATCAATGTATGCGTGCAACAAAAGTGGATATTCCTGTGTGATATTGTTGATGTGCTTAGTGTTACGGTTTGTACCGTTGTTGTTGCTGTTGTAAGTGTGAATGATGCTGATGTTGTTGTTGGTGCTAGTGCTGGTGGTGTCGATGTTTCTGCTGTTGCTGCTGCTGTTGTTGTTGCTGCTGTTTCTGTTGTTGTCGTTATCATTGTTGTGGTTGTGGTTGTTGTTGTTATTGGTGGTGGTGGTGGCGCTGCTGTTGTTGTTGCTGCTGTTGTTGTGGTTGAATTGCCACTTCTAGAGAGTCTGTATTGTTGATCTCTGGCAGCGGGTCTGCGCGCCCTCGCCTCGACGCTGGCTGCAGTTCCTCTGGAAACGAGGCTCCCGCTCGAGCGCGGGCTTGCATGCACATAATATGTCCCCTTGGAGGCCCGGCTACAGCGACAACGGCTCCCGCCCGATACTTCTTCACAATGGACCCCGAGACGCCCTGGCCAAACAGGCCCCCGAGCTCAGGAACGGCGCTCTCGCCTGAGATGACCCTTAGGTCGGGCATGTCCCCATACGGGCGGATTTTGATAGAAAATTTAAAAAACCATCTGTCGAACAAAATTCAATCATAGGCAACAATAATCCAACATTAGACCCCTACTTTCTATGGTCTATGTTTGAATATTTCCCCGGTGGAGGGTAATTCAATGAAGTTGGCGGAGGCCGGACCACGACGACACGGGCCCCTGCTCGATACCTCGTCGCGATTTGCTCCAGGAGCCCCTGGCCAGAAGGCCCCCGCACTCAGGATCGGCGCTCTCGCTCAAAACTTTCCCGCGATTCGGTCAAATTGGTGGAGGCCCAACTACGACGACAAGGCCTCTCGTTCGATACTTCCTCAGGATGTGCTCCGAGGGGCCCTGGCCAGAGAGGCCTCCAGAATCAAGAGAGTGGCGCTCTCGCTCGAAACGATCTCGTAATTCAGGCAAGCTGGTGGAGGCCCAACTACGGCGACAAGGTCTCTCGTTCGATATTCCCTCAGGATGTACTCCCAGAGGCCCTGTCCAGAGAGGCTTCCGGAATCAAGAAGGCGCTCTCGCTTGAGACGTTCTCGTAATTCTTGGTGGAGGCCCAGACACGGCGACAAGGGTTCCGGGTTGATATTTCTCCATATGTATTCCGAGAGCCCCTGGCCAACGAGGCCCTCGAATTCAGGAACGGCGCTCTCGCTCGAGAGGTCCTCACATTTCAGCCAGTGGCCGACAAGGAAGATATTCCCCCCGAAAGGGGTGCGATCGAAGACGAAATGGGCGGGTATCGAGGGTTGGGGCATACAGCATACAAGACACGCGTGCCAGTGACAGCGAACAGTCTGAAAACGATTGCTGTTGTTGTTTATTGCCCTTCGCAAAACGAGTCAATGCTTCTATGAGAAAACGCGCCTCCCACACAGTTGTTCTTCTAGCCATCCCAAGCCCCGAGTTGTCAAGGATGGATTCATGCTCTCGTGTGACTCGTCCTCGAGTAAATAAACGTCGGTTGTCTGTATGCCTTTCTCTTTCAGCCTGGCGGCCATCAGGCGGGCTGCGGCCGGTACTCCATTCCCGGGGGGAGTTGCTTGCTGCGTCTCATGCTGTGTTGATACGAAGAGCACAGACGTGGCCGTCCGAACCTCCTTGGTCAGGTAATCAGCCGCACGGCATTCAGCAAGCTCAAGCATGTCGGGCATCAAGTGCAACGAGGGCGATCCCAATATGATCTTCCCGAAAAGGCCCGGGCGCACGAACAGAGTTCGGAGCGAAAAGCCGCCGCTCAGTGAGCAGCCCAGGATTGCCCTGCACGCGGCAGGAAGCCCGACCACACCGAGTTGCTGTTCCGCCCACGGCACTACATTCTCACATAGCACCTTTAAGAAATTGCTGCAATCCTTCCAGTAGTCACGACGGCGAAGCGCACGGAACGAAGCTATGTCCCACCCACATCTCGACATACAAATGCAGGCAGGATCATGCCCGACACCTACCACTGCAAGGTGCCTCAACGGGGAGTACATCGGAGAGTCCTGATCAAGACAGTAGCCCGTTCGGCTGTAAAGGTGGAGGGCAGAAAGAGCAAACAACTCAGGCTCAGCATCCATGACATACAGGACCGAGTCAGGGACTCCACCGGCAAGAGGAGGAGCAAGGCTGACTCGCAACTTCAACTCGCCAAACTCGAAAGGATGGTGACTTGTGCGCATCAGGCCATACGCAGGACATTGATCCATACCAGGTGTTATGTCAGGTTGCTGCAATGAAGGCGAAGTATCACCTGGGATTGCAGCAGCAGCGAAAGCAGTCCCAGCCCTCAGACGCTTGGCTGCTCCCGCATGTGTTGCTGCACTCGCGGCGCGTTTAAGAAACGTCTTGACTGCTACGTCGATCGACTCACCTTTGTACGTCGCATCAATGTCCTCACTAGTCACCCCATCGAGCGAAGATGGCTTTTCAATGCGGAGTATATGTTTCAACACCGCTTCCGCTTCAAGGATGACTGTCTCGGGCGTTCCATCCGCGTCAATCGATTTCAAGAAATCTCTGAAACTTGCTGGCATGGCGTGGCTTCGTGCCGCAACCCTTCGAGCCAAATGGCTACGGATTGTTGTGCTGTTGTTGCTATTGCTTTTGTTGTTGGTTTTTTATGTGTTTCTGGTTGAATTATCACTTCTGAAAAATACTTGCTGTTGATCCCCCCGCCCGGTCAACATTGTATTTGACCCATTGAAGTGCCCCTCCCAAGGCTCGCACCCTGTTTTTTATATCAGGGAACATCTTAAACGTCAAACTGCGCTCCCGGCCCCAGAGTTACAACAACAACGGCTCCCGAAGGATACTTCCTCACAGTGTATTGAAGAATCGCGCTCTCGCGCGGGACCTCCTCACACTGTATGTACGAATCTCACCCTCGCGTGGGGCTTCCTTCGAACTCCGCGCCCTCGACACTCAGGAATCACGCTTTCGCTTCGGCCTTTCTCAATTTACTTGGGAGTCGCGCTCTCTCTCGAGACTTCCTCGCGAATCGTGCAGGACCCACGCTTCAACAACCCGCCTGCTCGACCTGGTCGCCTGGTCCCGCCTTCCAGACCCGTCCGCTATGGATCTGCCCATCCGATCTGCCCGTCTGGTTTTACCACTTGTTTTCTGCTCTTTGCCCCCAACCTGCTAATCTCTCTCGTGCTTCATCCTTGTCCCTCCCCTTCCACCCGTCCTCTCGTTATCTGTTTTAGGGGAAGCACGGCATGCACGTGGCAGGTAAGGAAGATATACCCCCAAGTGGGTACGATCGGAGACGAAGAGGGCGGGTACCAGGGGCTTTGGAGATACTATTGAATGGCGCGTGAGCAGATACAATGCGGGCGCGGCCACAAGAAACCCAACCCTGAGAACCCGTGCGCGAAGTGCGCCTGAGGGGAAGCCCGGAGCACCCTGAACGCAGCAGCTCCTTCAAAGGCTGCGGGAAGTCACCGCGCTGCGCGAGGAGCGAAGAAACCCAGGATACCCTGACGAAAAACACATGGTTTCTTGATGCGCGCCCCCACAGTAAAAGCGACCAGTCTTAGAATGAGTGTTCTTGTTGGTGGTGTTGTTGCTGCGTTGTTGTGTTTTATTGTTGCTATTGTTGTTGATGTTGTTGCTGTGCGTGCGTGCGTGCGTGCGTGCGTGCGTGCGTGTGTGTGTGTGTTTGTGTGTGCGTGCGCTTGTGCGTCCGTGCGTGCGTGCGCGTGTGCGTGTGTGTGTGCATGTGTATATGAATGTGTGTGTGGCTCTACGCCGCGACTTTGAGCGCGTGGCCGCGATGACAACAAGTGTGTGTGTGTGTGTGTGTGTGCAGTCGTGCGTGCGTGTGTGTGTGTGTGTGTGTTCGTGTGTGGTTGTGTGGTTGTGAGTGTGTGTATGTGTGTGCGTGTGAGTGTGTGCGTGTGTGTGTGGTCGTGTGTGGTTGTGTGTGCGCGTGAGTGTGCGTGTGTGTGTGTTTGTGTGTGTGTGTGTGCGGAGCCCTGGATGGTGGAACCCTGCGCGTTTGGAGCACTGTTTCGGGAGCACGATGTGTGCCAACAACTGTGCTCATGGAGCTGATCACACACGTGGCAACAAACCCGTGGCAACACAACGCTGGACCTGTTTGTTCTCTCTCTCTCTCTCCCTTTCTCTCTCTCTCTCTCTCTCGTTGTCTCTCTCCCTCGCTCACGCACGCACGCATACACAAATGCGTATGTGTAAAACAAAGTACGATAGAGCGTCCGGCTTGCAACAATATGTCTGCGTGTGCGTCAAATTCTGTACCCGTTGCCGCCTGACTCGTACGGCCACTCGATGGCCATCGGTATGCCTCCACGCTCCTTGATCATCTCGTATGCCAACTCCACTGTTGCGCCTAGCGGGAACTAAAAACAGATCACAAGAACTCACGCAGGCACCAACACCATGTGTTCTGACGAGGTGTCCTGACGGTACGAGCAGCATGCTACCTCGAGGGATCCGCAATCGTTGCGCCAAGACTGAAGACCTGATCAACAACATGTCCACCAGAATTCACCACTTCCGTTGCCGAACATGCGCCGACTCTTCGGGGCACCTTTCCACAACATCCCCCGGGGCAGCATGCTCGCGAGGCGTGGGTGGCGGAAGAACATGGGGAAACCGAGGGTGCTCGAAAAAGCCTAAGGAACCACTCGGAAAAGGCCGAAGACCGCGCGAGTTTGGAGTCCCGAAACGGTGCGGTGACGAACCGTGCGGTGACCTCGAAATCCCCCAAGACCTCACCGCACGGTCCGTCACCGCACGGTTTTGGGACCCTGGAGACCCCTGTCGCCCGAGACATCCTCGGAGAGGGACTCGAGTCCCAAAACCGTGCGGTGACCCCGAATCCCCACCAACTCACCGCACGGTGTGGTCACCACCCCGTTTGGGGACCCCCGAGCGAGGAGGAAGAGGCCCAACCGAGCCGGGAGGACGACTCCGCGAGAGCGCAAATACAACGGAAACTACGGCTCTCGTGCGCCCTGGGACGCCCCGACGAGGCCCGCCTCTGTACGAGCAGGGGCCGACCCTCCCGGCATTCCTAAGGGCCAACCGCAGTGTTCGAGATAACGCACTGAGATCAGAACAGGATGCCGATGTTAGGGGGAAAACAAACCTACCTCGCTTTTGACCACCCTCGCTTCCAAGAGATACCAAACGATGCCAACCTACGGCCTGCGCTGGTCAGGCCGCTTGACGAGGAGGCGCGTGGTATGACTTGGTTTTGCCTGGAAGCGAAAGCGGGGTAGGTAATTCACGCTCTGAGATGTATCAGAACAAGACGGTCTCAGCCAGAAGTGCTCTGCCGTGGAGACCGTCTCGCGCAAACCACCAAGGGTGGCATTCTCTGAGGGGCCCGTGGTCAGGTCGGGACGCTTCGCCACCGCTCGTCTGTCTCTGGGGCCGTGCTGGAGGCCTGGAGTCCCGAGCACGCTCCCCGAGCCTCGGGGGAAACCACGCGGCGTACCCCCGAGAGCCCACGAGAGCGCACAGGCCCCCAGGAGCGGGGGGTCGTCTGCCCTCAAACCCCCTCGGCCCACAGAAGAAACACCAAGACACCATCGCATCATGGGGACAAGCAGTGGCATGAGGACATCCCGGTGCCTGCCATCGGGAAACGAATAATTACACAGAAAACAAAAAACCTCCGAAGGTCCGCGCGGATTTCTCGGACCGTCGCTGGAGCCCCCTGGCGGCGCGCGCTCCGCGCGCCAGGGAGGAGGTCTTAGCGCCGATCCAAGAAATCAGCGCGGGCCTCCGAAAGTCTATGTTCATGTCACTGGTCGTTCCTCGATGCCAGAAGCACCGTGGTTTGAGGACATGGCCTGACCTTCCTGGGCCGTGCCTCCTTTTTGCAACGCCTCTGCCTCGCATTGCACAGTGTCGGCGCACGATGGCGCATGCTGCCCGACTCTGCGGCGCACCTGGGCTGGCTGGGGAAATGCAGGAACTGCCTCTGCACACGTCAAGACCGAACCTCATCCAATCGATACGATCGAAATCGGCACGGAACGAATGGGCACGAAGACCAAGGTAATGCCTATCCATCTTGGGCAGGACTCGGTGTCGGTGTCGCGCGGACGCTGCTCCCTTGAGACAACAAGTCGCATGCCCAACAGCGGCTGCTGCTGGTTCTGGACAACATGCGCTGTCGGGCGCATCCTGCCCGATCTTTACTCAGTGGCGGCCACGAGGGGAGCGTCCAAGAGGGGGGGGCGCAAATCATGGCCGGCGGCATGCGCGCGGCCCAGGGGCGGGGCCAGGGACGTAATGAAATAAGATGAGGCGCCATGAAATCAGGGGATATGTCATGGCCGACGCCATGATATCCACCCCCCCCCCTAGTCATCACCCCCCTCGTGGCCGCCCCCGATCTTTACGTGCCCATTCTGGGCCACCGAAAACCTGCCCAGGACCAGCGAGCACGCCATCCCGCCCGATACCCTTAGGTCGGGCCCGTCCCCCTGCAGGGGGATTTTGGGTGAACAATCTGAACTTGCCAAAAATATCCCAAACATGCTGGCAGATAGTGAAAAATCGTACCCAGAGCATATTTTGACCATCTTGTGGGCGACAAATTAAACATAGTCCCAAAACTGTTTAAACATTCCCCAATCAGAGCTTGCCTCTGTAGGGGTCCTAGCGGATTCATATGGTTTGGTTAGGTTTACCGCCGATTTCCATGCACGCCCGGGTACCTGGGTGCCCGGGGGTGCCCAGGTGCCCAGGTGCCCGGGGGTGCCCGGGTGCTCGGGTGCCCGGGGGTGTCCGGAGGTGCCCAGGGGTGCCCGGAGGTGCCCCGGGGTGCCCGGGTGCTCTATCGCCCTATAGCCCTATAGCTCTATAGCCCTATGTCCCTATAGACCTATAGACCTATAGACCTATAGCCCCATAGCCCTATAGCCCTATAGTCCTGATGCCCTATAGCCAAATCGCCCTATAGCTCTATAACCCTGTAGCCATTATGGGCCTAAAGCCCTATAGCCTTATTGCCTTGTAGCCCTATGTCCCTATAGCCCTATAGTCCTATAGCCCTAGCCCTGTGGTCCTATAGCCGTACAGCCCTACAGCCCTAATCATAGTATGATTGGGGCTGTTCTCCGGTATCATTTTTTTTTTTTTTTTTTTTTTTTTTTTTTTTTTTTTTTTTTTTTTTTTTTTTTTTTTTTTTTTTTTTTTTTTTTTTTTTTTTTTTTTTTTTTAAAAAAAAAAAAAAAAAAAACAAGCCGTCCCCATATAATTTATTTACTACATTGGAATATCCCTCCTGTGGAGGGACAGGCCCAACTTCCGACGAGCCCAACGGGGCAGCCGACATGGAGGAGGCCGCGCCGAGGCCCTCCCGGCGCCGCCCCGTCCCCCCATCGCTTGCGTGAGGTCGGGCCTGTCCCCCTACAGTTAAGTCGGGCGTGTCCCCCTACAGGTGGATTTTGGACGAAAAATTGAAAATACGCCAAAAAATGCTCCAAAGATGCCCCAAAATAGTCAAACAAATAGTCCCCTGACTATTGTTTTGCTATTTTTGAATATCCCCTGTACAGGGACAGGCCCGACTTAACCCTACAGGGGGATCTTGGACAAAAAAGAAAACGCACACTCAACATGTACTCCAGAGCAGTAACACAGACCATTTTTCTGCAGCCATGTTTGAATCTTCCCTCCTGCAGAGGGGCAGGCCCGACTTGAAACCACCTGCGGGGGCGGCGGGGCCGTCGCAGCCGCCCGAGCCGCCGCAGTTGCGCTCGTTCTTCGTGCAGGACACCATCGCCTGCGAGGACAGCGTCGGATGCTGCGAGGTCTTGCCCATGCTGGCGGGCGCGCGCGCGCGCGCGGGCGGCGGAGAGGGCGGCGGAGAGGGCGATGAGGAGTGTTACGCCGGGCCTGTCCCTCTACGGGAAGGAATATGCAAAAATACCCTCCAAATAGTCGTACTGTTCCCCAGAAATACCAATCAAAAATACCCATCACAAATACTACAAAATACCCAACACATACCCAACAACATACCCAACAAGTGCCCAACGCAAATACCCAACACAAATACCCCCCCAAAAAATCAGAGGAAGTTACTGATTGTACTATGTTTGAGCATGTTTGGCGCATTGTTGGACTACTTTGAACTTTTCGCCCGAAAGCCCCCCTGTAAGGGGAAAGGCCCGACGTAAAGGAAGCGGCGGGCAGCCGGAAGGAGCTGAGCGGTCAGGGCAACATGGCGCGGGCCGAAGGGCTGAGAGGTGCATAGGCGAGATGCCTCGCCGCGGCGCAGCTGGCCTGGACAACGGGCCGACACCCATCCCCAGAGGCGGGAACGGCGACGAGGAGCCCGAGGGTCCCAGCAGACAGGCGCACCCGAGCACAGCAGGACGCGGGGCGCAGCAGGGGGGGAGAGAAGGGACCGCCACCACGCTCGGACTCAGACTGGGAACTCTCGGTGGCGCTCGCAGGCGTTTGGGGGGGGGCAGCGGAAGTGGGAGCCCCACGACGGAGCACATCGTGGCCCAGAGGACGCCCAGGGGTGGCCCCAAGAGACTCCGTCCACTCACCCTCCTCCCACTGCCCCAGGAGGGCCCGGAATCGAATCCGTGAGTCGGATCGGCGATCGAAACGAATCGGATCGGCGACAATCGGCAACCAGATCGGGAGAAGTCAAATCGGCGGAAATCGGCGTGCAACTAGGCCTCCATTGAGAAATCGGGGTTCGAATCAGAATCCGAGGTCGAATCGAATCGACATCGGAATTCATCGAAATAGAATCGAATCGAATCGGAGGAGTCGAAACGAGCCCTGGTTGTCCCTTGCCGCTCCACTCATTTTGTTCCCAACCATCCTGTGGTGTTGGGACATGGTTTTGAAGAGACAGCGCCCCGCGTCTCACCTCACCTCACCTCACCTCCCGCTGCCCCCTCCCCCTCCTCCCTCCTCCCATCCCTTGCTTCTGCCTGCTCTCCGCATGCCCATCTCATTCTAGCACACCCCTCAGACGGTTCGTGGCCCCATAGGGAGCTCCACCGAAGGCCTCAGCGGCACGGTCCGCATGCGGGGACCGCCACCCATTTTGGCGCACCCCTCACACGGTTCGTGGCTCCATAAACGGGTCTCGGAGCACAGAGGAGAAAAGGGCGCAATCGGAGAGGGTGATGAGACTGTATTGCGGATCGCGCCTCGGGATTGCACCCGTACCTACGTCGATCCAGACGTCAACTCTCGCGATAATGCGACTCGCATTTTGGAATCGTGCCCCCACCGACGCCAGATCAAAATTGAGCTCTCGCTGTAGTGCGGCTCAAATTTGGGGAGCAGACCCCTACCGACGCCAATGAAGGAGGGAAACGAACTTTACGGTCGCAAATGCGATCCGCAATGTACACCTTGTTAAGGCCACTGGGTGTCAGAAACTGATTCGCCCACCTATCTTCTGCTTTGCTCAGCAAGCCCCGGTGGCCGAGCCGGGAGAAGTCGAATCGGCGGAGATCGAGAGTCTGGTAGGCCTCTGGTGAAACGTCGGGACCCAAATCGGAATCCGAAATCGGATCGAGTCGGAATTGGAGACCATCGACATCGAAGTCGAATCGAGTCGGAATAACCAAAATGAGCCCCGTTATTGAATTTAGAAACGCACATCGTTTTTCAATTCAGGGACCCCTTCTTGAATTCAAGAAACCCGTTTCTTGAATCTAAGAAACCCGTCTTTTGAATTCAAGAACCCGTTTTTTGAGTTCAGAAACCAGTTGTTTGAAGTCGAAACCCAAGTTTTTGATATCAAAAACCGTGCTTCGAATTCAAAAACTTTTTCTTTCTCTTGTGCAAAAAAGACCCGTCTCTGCGCGTGTGGGACGCTGTGCCTCGCCAGGGTTGGCTGGGGCGGTCGGCCGAAGCTCCCCGAATATAGCTTGGGCGCCGGTCGCCATCGGCTGTGCACGCAGAGGGAAAGCAGCACGAGGCAGGCTCCTCCTCAACCTCCTCCTCCTCCACCTCCACCTCCACCTCCTCCTTTTCCTCCTCCTCCTCCTCCTCCTCCTCCTTCTCCTCCTCCAACCCTCCTCCTCCTCCTCCTCCTCCTCCTCCTCCTCCTCCTCCTCCTTCCTCCCACTTCTCCCCCTCCTCCTCCTCCTCTCCCCCTCCCTCCCTCTCTTCTCCCTCCTTCCCCATCCTCCCCCTCCTCCCCCCTCCTCCCCTCCCCCCCCTCCTCCCCCTCCACCCTTCTCCCCCTCCTCCCCCTGCGGTGTGCGGCCGCAGGTGCAGTCGGCCCGTCTCACAAGGACGCTCGATAATGACTACCTACCAGACAACCCCAACTCAACCCGAAGACCCGAACTTGACCCGAATTTCGCGGTTCCCTTTTTTATTTGTAATAAAGGATATACAAGTGGCACGTGTGTGCCCAGGCTCATACAAAAAACACTGAAAAGGGCGTTTGAAGCAGGAAGACACCATGACTGCAAAATCGGAGATGGAGAAGGGGAAGCTGGGACGGCGCCGCCAGGGCGTGCCTAAGAGAAGGGGAAGATCGAGGTCGCACTCGAGCACAAGTGGGTTGCCACACCTTGCGATGTGTGTACCAGGACCCCCCAAGAAACCTCAGGAGGCCCGACTTGGATATCGGAAGAGGCTCCAGACCACCCCGGGATTGTGGGTGTTGTGTGTGTGATGTGTGCTCTGTGATGTGCGTGTTTTCTGTGCGTTGTAGGTGTTGTGTGTGTTATGTTTGTCTAGCGTGTGATGTGTTGGGTGTGATTTGTGTTCTCTGTGTGCATGTAGTTCGGAGGCCCCAGGAGGCCCCAGGCGGCCTTAAGAGGCCCCAGGAGACCCCAGGAGGCTCCAGGAGGCCCCAAGAGCCTCCAGGAGGCCGCAGGAGGCCCCAGGAGGCCCCAGGAGGTTCAAGGAGACCCCCAGGAGGCTCCGAGGCGGGTTCTGGGGTACCAGAACGCACAGAAAGCCCCAGGAGGCCTCAGGAGGTTCCAGGAGGCCCCCAGGAGGCTCCGAGGCGAGGTCTGGGAGGATGTCTCAGGCGAAACCGCCATTCTCTGAGAATCGGAGTCAAAATCGTTGAAAATACCATGTGTCTTTGAAGGTGTTATGTTAGAATGTGGAAATTCCCATGTGTTTTTGGACGCTGAAGTCGCGATCTGCGTGAGGGGTGCCACCGATTTTCAGAATTTCGAGGATGTCCCTAGCGAAACGGCCAGAAGAATCGCGGACGCGGCGCCCCGCGTACGCATTAATCGCCTCTGAGCTCTACTCCCTTGGAGAGGTGCGTATGATAATATATATGTATGTATATATATACATATATATATATATACTCAAGAAATGCCCAAAACATGCTCGACCATAGTCCAGAGATCGTCCCCATACTATTTGTGGGCTATGTTTGAATCTTCTTCCTGTCGAGAGGACAAGCCCGACTCAGCACAAGGCAGGCGCGAGGTGTGCGGCTGCAGGTGCAATCGACCCGTCTCGCAAGGACAACGGGCTGGAGCGGCTTCCGGTGTGCGGATGCAGGTGAAGTCGACCCGTCTCACAAGGATTATGTCGGGCGTGTCCCCCCAGACAGGGGAATTTTTGACGATAAATAAAAAATAGCCTAACAACACCAAAAGGCAAAATTAGCCTGACGAAGGACCCAACCATATGCAGGTGTGAGTACGGCAATTGTGATTCACTTTTTCGGTGGTGATCCCTATGAAGCAACGAACCGTGCTAGGGGTGTGCCGAAATGAGTGGCGTGGTACACGACGCAAACGAACAACACAATGCGGACTGCGCCACGGGGACCTTCGGTGGGGCTCCAGATGGGGCCACGAAAAACATGCGGACTGCGCAACGGAGACCTCCGGTGAAGTTCCCTATGGGGCCACGAAACGTGTGAGCGGTGTGCCGAAATTACTGGCGGGGACGCATGCGGACTGTGCCACTGGGACCGTCGGCGGAGCTCCTATGGGGCCACGAAACGTGTGAGGGGTGCGCCGAAACGAATGGCGGGGTGCGTGCGAACTGTGCCACTGGGACCTTCGGCGGAGCTCCTATGGGGCCACGAAACGTGTGAGGTGTGTGCCGAAATGACTGGCGGGGACGCATGCGAACTGTGCCACTGGGACCTTCGGCGGAGCTCCTGTGGGGCCACGAAACGTCTGAGAGGTGTGCCGAAATGAGTGGCGGGGGCGCATGCGAACTGTGCCACTGGGACCTTCGGCGGAGCTCCTATGGGGCCACGAAACGTGTGAGGGGAATACCGAAATGAGCGGCGGGGACGCATGCGAACTGTGCCACTGGGACCTTCGGCGGAGCTCCTGTGGGGCCACGAAACGCGTTAGGGGTGCCGAAGTGAGTGGCGGGGACGCGTGCGAACTGCGCCACTGGGACCTTCAGCGGGGCTCTATGGGGCCACGAAACGTGTGAGATGTGTGCCGAACTGAGTGGCGGGGGCGCGTGCGAACTTTGCCACTGGGACCTTCGGCGGAGGTCCTATGGGGCCACGAAACGTGTGAAGGGTGTGCCGACATGAGTGGCGGGGACGAATGCGAACTGTGCCACTGAGACCTTCGGCGGGGGCCCTGTGGGGCCACGAAACGTGTGAGGTGTGTGCCGAAATGAGCGGCGGGGACGCATGCGAACTGTGCCACTGGGACCTTCGGCGGAGCTCCTATGGGGCCACGAAGCGTGCGGAGGGTGTGCCGGAATGAACGGCGGGGACGCATGCGAACTGTGCCACTGGGGCCATCGACGGAGGTCCTGTGGGGCATCGAAACGTGCGAGGGGTGTGCCAGAATGAATGGCGGGGACGCGTGCGAACTGTGCAACTGGGACC